TGGCTCTTTCACAAGTAAACCTCTTATCAAGTCCCTTGCAGCAAAGCTAACACTAGGTGATGAAGGGAATCTCAGGGGCTGGCCAACAACATTAAACAAGGTGGCTCTGTTGCCTGCTCCTTTAAAAGGTGTCTGCCCGAACAAGAGCTCGTAGAGAAAGATCCCAAATGTCCACCAATCAACGGCACTACCATGTCCCTCGCCTTTAATGATTTCTGGAGCAAGGTACTCATGTGTCCCCACAAAAGACATGGATCGAGCATTTGTTGGTTCAGCAAGGAGCTCTGGTAGGGGGCTCACTTGATTGTGCATCTCGGTTTTCTGTTTCGTGTTCTTTCCTTTCTTGGGCTTGCTTAGGAAACGCGGTGAAAAACATGCAGGCTGGATGATACAAGATGGCTCAATACAAGCAGGCTGGACACAGTATGATGAAGTCTTCGACTCTAAACTTGAATTTGAGGATTTAACCAAAGTTGGACTTGTGGCACACCTCAAGGAGAGGTCAAAGTCAGATAGCATTATATGACCATCTTCTCGAACCAAAACATTCTCTGGTTTAAGGTCTCTATAAATGATTCCAAGCATGTGCAGGTACTCTAGAGCAAGGAGAACTTCTGCTACATAGAACCTATACATCCAAAACAGAAGATAACAAGTGCAAGTTAACATCATTGATCAAGATGTACAGGCATCCTTGTGATTGTGTGCATGAAATGGGAAACAACAAACAGTCATCACATTTCCTGTACAAAATCATCAAAGACTAGATTTCTGATTCTTCAATGAGTAAACTAATCTTGAGTTGAGAAGACTACTCCATTATCTATGACACTCTAGCAGAGCTAATAACCAACGCTATAAACCCTACACCAGTCAGTTTCCATTTCTTAACCGAATGATTTACTTAAAATGTCGACATGTATTGGTAAAGAATATAATCTAAATGGAGTATCTGCATATTGGATAAAAGGCAAGGATCAGTTTGAGCCCAATGTTGAGTAAAAGATAAGAGAGCTAGGTAAAATAACCAATCTATTTAACTCAACTGACATCAAGTGAACAGTTAAAACGTAGTGCTGGATATCACAACACGCATCATCATGGTTTGAACAGCAAGACCACTAGAGGTAAGAGAATTTGCCAAAAAATAATATTCTAACCTAACTACTATTTATGCAGGATCTCCCTTATGCCATAGAACTAGGAAAAGGAATTCCAATTTAACAAGGTTTCTTGGAACCCTTAAATAGTGATAATAATGCAGGTTCCGATAAAGGGATATGTTTACATTGCCAAAACCAACCAAATATGAAGACTGGTTTATCGGGAAATTAATGTATTGTACTTTGATCACTGCAGCAAGAACTAAACATATTGACCATGAAACCTGATCATCAGATCAAAGAAGTCCTGAATACATGGACAAAGAAAACGCTTCCAGCTGAATGGAGATTCAAAGTAAAATAGCTACAACATCAACAAATATGCATCGATAAAGAACTAGCCTAACCTGGCAGCATGCTCAGGGAAAAACTTTCCTGGCTGTCTTTGCCGAAGTGCATGCAAATCTCCCCCAGGGCAGAATTCCATCACCAAGCAAGAAAATTTGTCTGTTTCAAAGTGTGAATAGAGTGTCGGTAGAAAGGGATGATCCAGAGACTGTAGTATCTCTCTTTCTGTCTGAGCTCTCACGATTTTCTTGCGACTCTCTAGAGCTGCTTTGTCCATAACTTTCATGGCAAAGAAATCTCTTGTGCCAATCAACTGTGCTAGAAAAACATTTCCTATGTCACCACCTCCCAATCTCTTCAGAAGTCTGAAGTGGTTGAATCCCAGTGTTCCGTCAAGAGATCTGATGGCTTGAATTGCATCCCACTTTGTATCATTTGCCTGATGTGGTTTATATATTGCACTGCTGAAACTAGTACAACTGCTTTCGTCACTGATATCACTACCTGTGCTGCCTCTATAGAAGCTTGTTTTTCTGCTCTCACTGATATCACACGAGTTGCTAACATCACCGCTTTCACCAGACTTGGCCGTAGTGGTGAAACTTTGTTTGGCTTCTATGTATTGCGTTGCAGTGTAAAAGCTGTTTTGAGGACTAGGACAATAGCTTACTCCAGATTGAGATGTTAAAAGGTCAGCATCTCCTCTGGCGACAGCATGTAACATAAAATCCTTGCGCTCCACAAAGCTACTTGAAGTAGTGTTCTTGTTATCATGAAGTAAATCCTTGATAGATGATTTGGCTTCAAAGATTAAAACCCGATCCAGGGAACATTCTTCTGATTGTTGATAAAGGGTATCTTCTATGTCCTCTTTTCCTTTAGTCGAATAGCATCTCATCGAGTCAGAGATATTATCCCTCTTTATACGATCATGGGATGTTTTATATGAACGCTTAGAAGCAGTCACTGATCCTGTTGGAGTATCAATTGTCTTTGACCCAAAGTCAATAGCTATCGGATCGAAGGACAAATCTTTACATCTAGATTGTCTCATTGATGTAGGATGGGGAGGACGACTAATCCGGGAAGCAGAAGACGCATTACCCTTAATAGGAGTGAAGGAAGTATGACTGTTTGACAAGGAACTGACTCCTTCAACAAGAGACTCCATTCTGCTCTTTGGCCTAGACACTGCCATTGTACAATCAAAAAATGAGATTATTACCTCATACTTACACTATGATACAAAATAAGCCATTTTGAAAAAAGTTTTTTTCTTTTATATAATAAATCTGAAATTGATCCCAAAATGCAGCACTAAATCCTTAAACAAATCGGAAGGAATCTTTGCAGAGAAATAAGAGGTACAATATCTCCTATTAACAAGAAAAAGCTACTTAACTTATATAATTAACAAATCAATCAACTAGGTCTCAATATAAAACCTAGTTGGAATTGGCTGCATTTGTATGAACACACTTTAATCATTACACTCTATTCGGGTCCTATTAATAGAAATCTAAGAGCGGATCAATGCTTTAATTAAAATCAAATAGAAGTTAAAATTTAGAGAGATTACATTTTAACTGCCCAATTGCATTACAGCAGAAATCAAAACAACAGAAATTAAAATACTAATTAAGTTACACGAAAATGCAATGTTACATCCAAAATTCAGGAAAGAACATACACCAAAAACTTTAGGAAATCTTGCATGGTTTCCTTTTTTGCTTCTTCCACAAGAAGCAAAACAGAGACACAGAAAAAACTACAAATAAGGGGTTCTTGATAATTACCTGATTAATGAACTGAGAACAGTGAACTAATCTTTCATAATTGTTGAGACGAAACAGAGAACCTTTCAAGAACTTGGCTCGAAAAGTGAAACAATCTTTGCTCTGTTACTGCTTTTTCCTGTATTCTTTTTCAGATCCGATCGAAAAACAAGAAAGAATGTTAAGTAATTCTATTGATTTTGTGAGTTTGAGTTTTTGTGGGGTAAATGGGGTGGAATCGTAATTACAATGGAGAAGAAAAGAAACAAGAAAGTAATATGAATGATATGAACGAAAACTCAGAAGCAAAGCAAAAAGACAGGAAAACAAAGCAAAGCTGTCTTCACTTTTAAGAGAAAAGAATGAAATCTAATTTCTCGCACTGTCTTTCTGCTTTACCTTCACCTTTCTTGTTTATGTAAACGCTTATATTGAACTACTATACACAACTCTTCTTTATCGTCGAATACAAAAATGCATACTGTAACTTATCACAGTGATTCTGTTCAGAGACAAGGCTGGAGAATGCATTTTATTATTGGAACTCCCAACTTCTATTCTTTTTTTTTCCACCGCACTCTCAACTTTTATCCGCAATTAAACCACAAATTAATTGAGACCAGCTATATCAAAATTCCATTTTTCAAACTCATTTTAATTGTGTATAGAAGACTCATTTTTTGTTATTGTTAATTTAGCAGGACTTCCTTCTTTTATTTAAGCTCAAATAGATTATATTACCACGACCAAGGTAGTACACAGGAATTTTTCTAAGAGGTGTCGAAATTTATAGATGAACGAGAATAATAACTTTAATTATCATACTTTGAGACAAAAAATAACCTTAGTCTATTGGTTTTGTTGAGTGTTAAGTTAAAAAATATCATGAGTTCAATTCTAATTCCTCACAATTTTTAACTACTCTCTAGTTGAGGTTCAAACCTCTGACCTCTTAAAGCAAAATCAAGCACATGGCCAACATACAAGAGACAATTTTGTATACGGTCAAAATCGGGATGCCCATTTTTGTTCGACTGACCAAGGCTGGAACGTGATAGATCAAGTTTGGACCTCGTTTTTTATCTATGGCACGAGGTTAAGTTATCGAGACCATGGGGCTGATTAAGCTCGAGGTCGACCAAGATCGAGACCAAATAAGATGGAGATCGAAGCTATATGAAATACATATTTATATGGATGTCCACTAATCAAATATAACTCCCACTACTCTTCTCCATTATCACTACTAAAAATCCGAAAAAAAGCGACCAAAATTTGGCTACCAAAATTGGTCTGTCAGGAAAAGCGACCAACGTTGGTCGCTAAATTGGAGAAAATAATTAAATAATTATTTTANAAGTTTTATAAAATTTAGTATATAACATACAAAATGTATATATATACAAAAAATATATATAAATTTTATATATTTTCTCGGCTATTATTTTTACAGCGGCTATACAGTGTCATTTTTCCAAAGGAATTCACCCTTGTTTGATTTGTTAAAAAATAGTACGGAAATAAAAAGAAACAGCATTTTCAGTAAGTGTATCCACCTGATTTCACTCTTCTTTTAATTTGCCCATCACCAATGGTTGTGATAGAATGCATAGAATTTATCTGCCTTTAATTGATCTAATAGAGGTCTCAGGTTCGACGTCCCTTAGAATGAAAAAAAACCTATAATAGACCTAAGTGTTTGCCTCTGAAGCGGAAAAGTTCATTGCTCATCTTCAATCAAATACCTTGAAAGAGTGGAAATATTATGCTATAATAATAGCCACCCTGAAATTTATTACAATAGTGAGCAAAAGAGAGTGTTTCTGTCAGCAGTCTTGTAACGTAAATATCGTCGACTACTTTCTTGTATAGCCATCTCTGTAATCAATTCTACAGACATACACCAAACTGCACATAATTAGTTGTAAGGTTTGAATTATAGAAAATACAACTACTTAGAATGACATGTTAGTTATCTGTAGTTGCAGCATACTAAAAAGAAAAGATTTCTACCTTTGAATAGCAATGGGAAGGAAATTGCCACAGTGGAGAACAAAAGATGTTTGAAACTTGAGCAGATTCAACCAACAATGGTACAAAGCTTGGCTAACAATTATTTGACTTCAAGACTGCATTTAGGCTGCAAGCAACAACATAATATGCAATAAGATAAAAGATAAAAACCATTCAGAGACAGGCATAAATTCATTTATGAGCAAAGGGTTCTGTTAGACACCACACATCTAATTAATTTAAGGCTTATAAATATCAGACAAATGGCAGTAAATTTTAAAAATAGCCAGATTTACAACTGGTCGTTCAAAAATAGCCCAATTTCAAAAGTAATCAAAATTTAGCCACTTTTTATATAAAGATAAATCTGAGCGAAAACACTGTTGAAAACCCGGAAAATACTCCAGTATATTATGCTGGAGTTCCAGCATAAGTATACTTGAACTCAAGCATATTATACTGGAGTTCCAGAATAAGTATGCTGGAACTCCAGCATAATATGATGGAGTTCCAGCA